AATATACCGCCTCTTATGCCTGATGAGGATAAAAACACGTCACGTGAAGACAATCTATTGAATTAGAAGTCTTAGAAAAACGTATACTTGTAAACATTCTCGAAATCCCGGTGGCGATAGTATCAAACATCTATCAAACAGCTGATTGTCAAAACGAAGCGCAAGCCTTGGCCTTGCTTAGTTATGAAGCTGAACTTCATAACTATAGCTTGGAATTTTGGCTTCTTAGAATGCTCAAATAGTCATTCCCGAGGAATTAAAGCCAAAATACGACCAAGGAAAAATTACAAAATAAATTTGGTTCAAATTTCCAGTGCTACACACTAGGTGTTTTACAGAGTGATGAAGCGTTGTAGGGTTGTGGGTGTACTCAGGTGACAGCGTCTTCTGTAATAGTTGCTTCATGGTTATATTTTAGTTTAAAACTTTAGACGGGTGGCGTTAATGGCTGATAAAATGTGCGGATTTTACTATAACACCGAAATATCAATGTTTAAGAAAGGAGGATATGTAGCGTATGTTGCACTGATCATAATTTTACTGAGAATTGCAAAGAAATAGCTAGAAATTCAAGCCAAGTTGTGTTTCGATGATTGAGTGGTGATATTCATAACATCGTAGTTAGCAACAAAATTTAATCGAAAGTATGAAAAAAAAAGCAAGTTGTAGGCCATTATAATTATAAGATGGTTTTAATAAAAACATCGGCATTCACGTACGCCAATTACCTATCCACACCATCCCTAAATCCATGCCATTCCTTATTTTTTGACCAGGATCATTTGCGGTCCAATATGGGGATCATTTCCGGTCCGGGATCATTCGCGGTTCTATTTGGGGATCATTTGCGGTCCGGGATCATTTACGGTCCTGGGATCATTTGCGGACCCGTACTACTGCACCTATCTACCAAATTAGTTTTTTACTAAATTTCCGCCTCAACCAGAATCGCACCCGGAACACAATGAATAAAACGAGCTGACTCAACGGATGACCAACAAAAAAGAATGCAAGAATAGTTCCAATAACGTCTGCTGGATTTCCACTGTAATCAAGCACAGAATAAATATAAGGCTGCCCTAAAGTGTTAGTGCCGTTACCCGCCCAGTAAACAACACTAAACATCACGTAAACAATAGTGAAAAGCATTGAATAAATTACGTGATATAAACGGACGGGAACAGTTCCAAGCAGAGTCTCTGATAATATAAAAACAGTGTTGAGTATTTGGGTGGCGACTGTTAGGCCGTCAACGTTAAACCCAGCGTAGTCCCAATTTGTGGCAGTAACTAGTAATGCTGTATTTGCCGCAATGTTGTAAATAACCCACAACGCTTGGTGGTAGCCTGACATTGGAAGCTCCTGCATAACTTCCAACGGATTTATCGATACTTTCACCTCCTCGCGACTTCGACCCTTCTCGCGCGTGATATCACGAGCGTCTGTTTTATCGCGTGGGTCCTCGCGCGACTTATTATCGCGAGAGTCCATATCCGATGAACGCGATATTCCGGAGCGTGATGGGTCGCGCGGGTCCTCGCGCGACCTATTGTCTCGCGAGTCCATATCCGATGAACGTGAAATTCCGGAACGAGATCGTCTTAATGGAATCGGTTCAGGGCTTCCCATCTCATACTCTCCTTGTTTGCATTCCTCTTTGTAGTACAAGGCTGTTATTACAGTGGCAAAAACGAAGTACACAGTCACAAATAAGAAGCTCCAGTTTGTGAGGTATATAAACCACTTTTCATTTCCGTTTGCTGGGTGGAAACCGCTGTAAATGATCCAAGCACTGCAGTAGACAGCCACTACCAGACGATATACAAGGATCACGGGAACGCTAAACCACTGAAACAAAGAGGAAAAATTCAGGTAATTGTTACCATAACAACACCTTTTACGAGTCTGCGTGTCCTACGTGTGATAAGTTACTTTGTAAATATTCAATTAACATACGACTTAAGGTCATTCCACTCAAATAGAGTCTGCACTATATATTTTGTAACGTTTCGCTAATTACACTGGAGTATGTTCATTATGTATGGTTCGTGTTAACTGTAGAAGTACTTTAGGCGTGAATCCCTTAGGGGCTAGTAGGCTATTTAAGAATTTGTAAGTTATGCAAGAGCCACTCGAAGGCATCTCTTTCAACTTTGCTTTTGTTGTTATGTCGTCGGATACTGAACGAGCGAGCGTTCCCGCTTCGATCGCGCAATCCTTCACCGAGGGAGATCCTGTTCATAAGACTGCTTCACGAACATTGTTTCCTCGTCTTTTGGACGTTACGTTTGATCAGAGGTTCGCTGCATTCAAACGCGATCTC